CCTACATGGGTGCAGAGCCCAAACAGGTGGGCCCTCTTCTGCTGCATTCCCACATGTATTCGCAGAGAGCTGGGCCAGAAATGGAGCAGCTGGGATAACAACCAGCACCCATCTGGGATACCAGCACTCCAGTTAGTGACCACACTGGCCCAGAATCCCATTTTTCTGTGAAGTTTCCTCAGCCACCCTGTTTGTTCATAGACCGTTCAACCTGCCGCAATGTAAGGAGTCAGATGGGCTAATGGGTGGTTAGGGCCTCTGGTTCCTGGTGAAATTACCTTTTAAAATATTGAATCTTGGGCCCGGCATGATAGCATAGTGGTTAAAGTCCTCACCTTAAATGTGCTGGGATCCCATATGAGTGCCAGTTCTAATCCCGGCAGCCCGCTTCCCATCCAGCTTCCTGCTTGTGGCCTGGGAAAGCAGTCAAGGACAGCCCAAAGCCTTGGGAGCCTGCACCCATATGGGAGACCTGGAAGAGGCTTCAGGCTCCTGGCTTCAGATTGGCTCAGCTCCGGCTGTTGTGGCCGCTTGGGGAATGAATCATTGGACGGAAGATCTTCCTGTCTCTCCTCCTCTCTGTATATCTGACTTTTCAATAAATAATAACAACAACAAGGTAACAAAAGCACCCCCGTATTCCTGGAGCTGCTTGGGAATGGTGGAGGAGACCAAGGCAGGCCGGACCAGTGCCTTGCTCTGGTAGGCATGGGGCTTCATGGGTCACCCAGTGGGCTGCCCTCCGGAAGCTGTCTGCTTGACCTGGCTGCTTCTCTGAAGCCTCCTCCAGGAGTGGACACGTAAGGCCACTGGGGGAAGGAGAGCACCACAGAGACGGAGCAGAAGGGGCAGTGTTCTGGTCCCGGAGGTGCGTGTGTGCCAGATCAGGCTCTGACACTGACTGAGGGGTGCACAGTGAGCAAATGGCCATGACCTTCTAGCATTTCCCAGACTGACCTCCCACATGGCGCCACTGGGCAGATTCTGTGCATCTGGGGAAGGCTTGGCTGAACAGGGAGGTTCGTTTGGTGTGTGGCCAAGGGTGGGGGAAGAGTCAGGCTCAACTCTGTTGAACATGGGCCTGGCTGGATTTTCTCATCAAAGGCCCAGGTGCTGGACTTTTTGTGTCTGGTACACGCCCTGGGAGCCAGTGTAGGGAGAGTTTAATGGAGAAGAGGCTGTGAAATCAGAGCTTGGCTTGACTCCTGGGATGGCTTCCATGTTAGCCTGTGAACAACTTGGGTCAGTTTCCCCAGTGCTTTGAGCCTCAGTGTCTTGGTCTGTAGAATGGACACAGTGATTATTCCTCTCTCCATTAGTAGAGAGGTGGGAGGATCAACATAAAACGCTGAGTGTGGTGCCTGACATATGTTACATGTTTGTTGTGACTGTTTAAGTCACCTCAATCAGTGATAACCAGCTCCTTCCTGTCCCAAGCCCTCCCCATTTCTATGACCCTGGTCATCAGCACTGTGGACACCACATTCCCCTGTCAGACCTCACTTGGTTAACAGCAGTCATGGGGACCCCGCACTTTGCAAACAGCCACATTCTTGGCCGTCGATGGTCCACTGCCCTCCTCCCACCGTCTCCCATGTGGCAGAAACAGAGCGGTCATTGAGAGCCCCAGGGCTGAGATGAGACGGGATATGCTCCAGGATCACTCACTGGTCTCTCAGAGCTAGGAGAGACGCAGCCACGAGGAATCCTGCACCTGCAGCTCCGTCCTCCGGTGGTCATCCTGCTGGACCTGCGTCCCCGACACCCTAGGTGGCAGCATCACTGGTCAGTGTGTGTGTATGTTTATGCATGTGCACGTGTGTGTATCTGCAGACCCCTTGGGATGTGCCTGCAGGCCAGGGTGGAGCAGAGGGCCATATCCAGCTCCTCGGCTGGTGGGACCTGGACTCCCAACGCCAGCTCTGCAGCCCCGGGCTGAATGAGCAAGTATGCAGAGCTGAGCCTGCATTCCCGGGTGTGGGAAAGGGAACCCTCCCTTCCTTGGCACTCTGTGAATTCAATCAGGGCATGGATTAAAAAAATAAAACAGATCTGGCACGAGGGCTTGGCAGGTGACAGGTGCTGGCGCGGTGGCTCTGTCCTTTGTGTGTGTGTCAGTTTCACAGCAAGGGGGAATGTGTGTGTCAGTTTTATGGCAGGGGGAGGGTTAGTTAGTAGCCGTGCCATCCCACCAAGAGGCCCTTGCTCAGTGGCCACCTGTTTGCATCTCTTTCCTGGCGATACCGGTGAATCCTCTTAGCTGGAGGGAGGGTAAAAGCCAAAGGTCTGTTCCGGTATGGACTCGCCCCTTCCAGTGAGGATGGCCGTGACTTAGGGTGGGTGACTTAGGGTCTTCCCTGAGAGGAGGGATGGGATGCAGGGCTGGGGAAGACTCCGCAGTCTCCTGCTTGTTAGTGCTTGTATCTGTCTCTGTTCTGAGCCCCTGACCCCGCCTCCTGCCCGCAGCGTTACTTTAGCTCAGCAGATACCCACTGGCACTCATACCGGCACCCAAAACACTGCCCACTGAGCTCTCTCACCCTCTTCTTCCAACACTCAGCTGCCAAGGGGAATGAAGAATATTGGAAGGAACTCTGGTGCTGACCCCAGCCTTCCCCACCAGCCCCAGGAAAAAGTGAGCAGAGTCAGACACATAACCACGGGGTGGAGGCAGAGACTGGAAAGATGCCAGGGAGAACCATACACCTCGGGATCTGCAGCAATATGAACTGCTGTGGAGATGCCAGTTGGCAAGTGGCCTGGGTGGCAGCCTGCCCAGGGGTGAGTCTTGAAGCATGTGTGCACTTTACTGGGGAACAAGAAGCTTGGCTGGTCCAGGCAGAGCTGCACGGGGTTGTTGGCTGAAGCCCCAGCTCTGAGGGGCCTGAGGGTCTTCTCTTCGGTGGGAGGAAGGATAGACAGGAGCTGGGGAAGGCTAGGCAAAGCCCTGGACTAAGGAGGGCAGAGGCCATCCTACAGATCAGTAAGGTCAGATTTTGGCCACCAGGCTTCCCATCTCCTACTCTGGTGGTCTGGAAGCAGGTGGCAGCCTGCGCACCGTGTCCATCAGTGGTGGCAGAAGGGAGGTGCAACCCAGAGGCCGGGCAGCCACCTGGAGCTGTGGGTGACAGCCCTGGCTGGGCTGGCTTTTCCATACTGACCAGAGGAGGTAGTGGGGGAGCAGGGGGAGGATAGTTGCTCTGGGAGCCCCAGAAGGAGAGGACACACAATCGGTCTCACTGAAGCCTGCGTTTCCCACGGTCAGCAGGGCTCCTCAGGTCACTTAGCATGTCCCCAGCGTGTAGCACAGTGATGGTCACATAGAAGGCATCTGACTGATGTCTGTGTAATAAATATTATGTAGAGGAGGCCAGCATTGTAGTATAGCGGGCTAAGCCTCCACTGTGACACCAGCATCCCATAGAGGTGCCCGTTTGAGTCCCAACTTCTCCACTTCCCATCCAGCTCCCTGCTGATGTGACTGGGAAAGCAGCAGAGGATGGCCCAAGTCCTTGGACCCCTGCACCCATGTGGGAGACCCAGAAGAACACTTCTGGCTCCTTGCTTCAGCCTGGACAAGTTCTGGCTGTTGTGGTGGTCATTTGGGGAGTGAATCAACACAAAGATCTCTCTCTCTCTCTCTCTGTAATTCTGCCTTTTAAATAAATAGCAAAACAAAGAAATCTAAAATACATTATGTAGAGCCACAACATGTGTCATGCTTATGGATATACAAGGGGACTACAGGAAGTTCACAGGAAGTGGAATTAACAGTAAACTTTGGTTAAAAAAAAAAACCATACATATTACATAAATATATTGAAGGCCATTGGAGTGCACAGATTTCAACAATTTGTACCCCCAGATAAACATACCTTCCTTTTTCCACAAACTTGAAGTCCCCCTGGCATAACCCAGTTAACACTTGGTGATATTGAAAACTGCCAAGGGTCGAGAAGGGTCAAGGCCATGGTTGCTTAGGGGAGAGAGTAAGCAGGGTTGGGACAAAAACACAAAAAGCAATGTAAATGGCTCTGAGTTTTCAGTTATTTTTAAAATTTTTATTTAAAAACCAGAGAGATTCAAAGAGCTCTCCCATCCATTGATTCACTTCTCAGACGCCCTTAGCAGCTGGGGTGGGGCCAGGCCAAAGCCAGGAGCGACATAGGTGGCAGGGACCCCAAGCCCTTGGTTCCATCACCTGCGGCCTCCGGGGGATCGTAAACAGGACGATGGAATGGAAGCAGAGGGGGGTTGATTCCATTGATTCCAGGCACCCCAATGTGGGATGCCAGCACCTGGGTGGTAGTTTAGCCTTTGTGCCCAGTGCCGCCACTCCTGAATTCTTCTTTACAATTTGTATATTTATTCACTGGAGAGGCAGCAAGGTGAATGATAAGCACCCCTCAATGACTGAGACAGGCAGGATATGAAGGGAGACTCTGAGACCAAGCCTCTCCTCGGTCCTTATCTCCCCCTATGAGGACTGGCTCGCCTTTCTCCTGTCGCCAACCCTGCCCCTCTGCAAGGTCTCTTCTAGACTATAGTTGTGTTCTACCTTTGTTCTGCGCTTTCTTAGATGTTAGCACTTCTCAAAGTGGGACCCCCACAGAAGGCACCATGGCAGGGTGAAGGAAGGCTCAAGGGAATGGCAGGTGGACAGTGTTGGGTGAATGCCGCCGGGGAAACATGGGACTCCAGAGAGCCCTTGGGGCTTAGGTATCACCTGTCAAGTGGAGCAGCAATTCTAGATGATTGAATGTAAAATACAGTTGAGTCAATATTGTTGACCAAATGCAAGCTGCGGTGAAAAAGCAGAGTTCCTGACAGATGTTGGACACACATTTTATTTCTTCCAGGTAATGGGCCTTGCATGAACTTGCTGCCAAGAGCAGCCTCCCTGCGTCTTTTGCAGTCAGGTGGAGACCAGAGGGCATTGCACAGGAATACTGAGGCTTGCTCTACTTTAAACAAAACTTCTCATTCCCAGCAGGATCGCGATGACCACAGTCACTCCTCTGCGGGCCACCACCTTCTTCTCACTGAACATGACCACCCGGGGAGAGGACTTCCTCTATAAGAGTAAGGTCACTTTGGCTGGGAGGCCAGGGGAGCAGATGGCAGGACAAGTGTTATGGTCAACTCTTGGTGCAGAGGATCAGGGCCTGTGCTCTTGGGGCCACATGATGGCTGCATTAGCATCCTATGTGGGCGCTGGTTTTTGTATCCTGGCTGCTCCACTTCCCTTCCAGCTCCCTCTTTGTGGCCTGGGAAAACAGCAGAGGATGACTCAAAACCTTGGAACCCTACACCCACATGGGAGACCCGGAAGAAGCTCCTGGCTCCTGGTTTTGGATTGGCTCAACTCCAGCTGTTGCAGCCATTTGGGGAATGAACCAGTAGATGGAAGATCTTTCTCTCTGTCTCTTCTCTTTGTATATCTGCCTTTACAATAAAAATAAATTAATCTTTTAAAAAACACAAATGAATAAATATTTTCAAGTCACAAAGACATCTAATAATACAGGAAGATGATTATATTTATTTTAAAGCATTATATGGAACATAGCTACATTTTTAAATCAAATGCATATTTTTCCATATTTAGAAATACTTCTTTTGGGGCCAGTACTGTGGTGTAGCATCCTGGGTCACCACTTGGCATGCCAGCATTCTATATGGGTGCCAGTAAATGTCCTGGCTATTCCATATCTGATCCAACTCAGTGCCACCACACCTGGGTAAGCAGCAGGGCATGGCCCAAGTGTTTGGGACCCTGCACATCATGGAAAACCAGGAAGAAGCCTGATCCAGCCCTGCCTGCTGTAGCCACCTGGGGAATAAACCAGCAGATAGAAGATCTCTCTGTCAATAACTCTACCTTCCAAATAAATAATAGTAATAATAATAATGATGAACATTTACTTACAATGGATTTTCAGGCATACTGAGTTATTCTAAGATATTTGCCCAGACAGACATTGGTGAAAATGGAAATGTGTGCATGATCGGTGTCTGGGGGCCATGAGGTCTTCAACCCCGCCCCCTTTTAGGGTTGAATTTCAATTTCAAAGTCATCTACAGAGCTCACAGTTTACTTTTGTGTTATCAGCATGAGAGGAGGTAGTGTGCTTCACTTGTTTCCTGGAAGAAGTGTGTGACTGAATGCAGCTGATTAGAATGGGACACAGCCTGCAGCAGAATTTGGTGGACAAGGCAGGCAGGCTGAGGCCCAGGGGTGCATGGCCAACCTGGACAGGACTGTGGCTGTGGCTGGTGGGTGGTGCTCATCCCCGCACATCCCTTTCATTTTCCCCTGACTCAGAGGGGTGGCAGGTGCGCGGCAGGGCCCCTCCCAGGCTGTCCATACTCTGCACTCTGTAGGTTCTGGAGCCATCATCGCTGCCATCGTGGTGGTTGTGATCATCCTCTTCACCGTGGTCCTGATTCTGCTGAAGATGTACAACAGGTATGGGATTCCCTGGGCCTTGGCACTGTCCAAGCAAGTAACATTTGTTGGGGGAGGCTTGCGGTGCCGGGGGTATCCTTGGGTCGCCAGCCAAGGCTCTTGCCCTTTGGGTCTCTGCCCTGAAGTCTGTTCTGCTGGAGAAACCTCATGGTGACCGCAGACGCATACCTGGAGAAACACAGCATCTGAGTGTCAATGATAATGGCCTTGAGCACACTGGTAAACCTGGCAATCGAGGAGTGTTTCTGTCCGTCTCCCTGGGAATCCCTCTGCTAGCTTCCCTGGTGCAGGCTACGTAAATATTTGACGTGACAAGTATTGGCAGCATGCATCACAGCTCCTCTTTGTTGGAGCCAAATAAGAGGGGATAAAATAACAGTTTGATTTCATGAAGAATAAAAGTTATGTATTATCACCTTCTAGGCACAATTTTTCCTAGAAGGTTATTCTTTCTCATGCAAGAAATCAGAATTAAATAAATCACGTCATAGAAGAACTGGAAGCCCTTAAGAAAAAGGATATTGCAGGGGGAAAATGCATTGATGGGAAATCCATCATAAGATTTTGGCAGAGTTACAAAATCATCTACTCACTGTGATCACACACATGGGTCACATATGCACATACATGTAAGACAGCAGAATACTAACAACCAGTATATCTGTGCGATGATCCACAAAGTTGTTTTTTATTGGAAGGGAGGTATTCCTCATGCTAGAAGTGTAGTAAACATGCAGTACCTTTATCATAGTAGGAAGATCATTTATAGCCAACATGTAGTGTCTCCGTATCATAAGCCAGGGATAGTTCTAAAGCTTTACTTGTGTGTTAGCTCATGTAAGACGTCACAAGGACCACAAGGCAGGTACTGTTACTACCCCCAGCTTAGCAGGGATGGAAAGAGCCAGAAGAAACTCCTGGCTCTCAGCTCAGCTATAGCCATTGTGGCCATCTGGGGAGTGAACCAGTGGATGGAAGATTTTTCTCTCTGTCTCTCCTTCTCTCTGTAAATCTGATCTGCCTTTCCAATAAAAATAAATCTTAAAGAAGGGAAAACTAAAGGGGCCGGCTGGTGCCGGAGGCCCCACCCAGCGGCTCCGAGGTTGGTAGTGAAGTAACACTCTCATGAGGGTCTACACGCACTGTATCACCAGAGCCACTGTCACAGAGGCCAGGTCCCATGGCCAATGGGGCAAAAACTCACTGGTGTGTGCTTATCTCACTGCAGGAAAATGAGAACAAGGCGGGAGCTGGAGCCCAAGGGCCCCAAGCCTACCAGCTCTTCTGCCCCGGACCCCAGCAGCACCAGCAGCCAGAACTCTGCCACGGTCACCTTCAGCCCGGTGGCCGTCCATGTGGAGACTTGACAACCTCTCCCCAGCGCTGTCCCGAGAGCTTTCTCCAGAATCAAGTCCCAGAATCAAGGAGCACACTTCTCTGGCAGCTTCGCGCGAGCTCCTTTGGGCAAGTCGACAGAGGCATCTGTTGCGCGTGCCTTGATGCTTCAGGCCACCCTGACTCTCACTTTGCTGTGCCCCTGTCCCTACACCCCAACTATATTCACATGCCTGCCAAAAACCTGGAGGACCATCTTCAGTCACTTGATGAGGCTGAACTATGTTGGGGAGCCATTAATGTGTATTTGACTCTGCCCCTTGTTCCCCTACAAAAAAAAAAAAAACTGCAGCTAGACAGACACTCCCAGCCCAGGAGTCTTCTGACTGTGTCAAGCCTGGAGTGGGCTCTGGGGATGTCACAACAGGCTGGGATTCTGGGGTCATCTCAGTACCACAGCCGCATCCTTGTTGAGTCAAATCCCCGTCCCACGGTCAGACACAGGGAATTCACACAGGCTAACCAGCTTGCTGTTGTCACCTGCTCCCCGCACCAGGGGCCTACCAACTAGCTCATGAGTCCTGTCAGCACTTGTTCCTCTCTGGCAGAGAGGCCCTAAGAAAACCTGAATCCTTTCCACAGAGCTGCTGCTGTGTTAGGAGAGGGTTAGCAGGAGAAAGGGGGTGACTCCAAGTGGCATGCGCCGTTGTGCTTGTGGCCGGGAATGACCCTGGCACCTCTCATGGCGCCAGAAGACCCCTGCTGCAGTGGATTGATCTGGATGCCAAGCCACCCTGGCTGTCCTGGTAACACCTTCCTTCCGATTTGGTGATTTAGAGATTAGGTTACAACTCCATGTCCCCTAGGTCTTTGGCCACCTCTTTGCAGAGTCAAGCCAGAGAGCATCAGTCACATTCCCCACAACGGTCCCCTATAGAGAGCTGCCCTCTGTCCCCTTGAGCCTGGACACAGTGACCAACTGAACAGGGACCGCATTTTGGAGTTAAGAAGACCTGCCTCCCATGCCCTATAGCTCTACTGCCTGAGAAAAGTGACTCGACCCCCACAAAATGAAAATACAAGAATGAGGAAAAAGTGGTCCTACCTGTCCACCTTCAGTGTCCCAACCGTAAAGTATAAATGGTAACATCTCCTTTGCTGAGTAGCCAAGCACAAGCCTGGGATTAAGCACAGTGTAGTCCTGGCCCCAGCAGGTGCCTAACTTGGGAAGGCCAGCATTATTATTATGGCACTTTCTCAATTGCATGACATGTATTTTGTTCATATTTTTCTGATTCTCAAATCAGAATGTGTCTTACAATTAATGAACTCATTAATGTAATTATATTTCTTTTCCTCACCTTCTGTGTCCATAAAGCTGTTTCTTGATGAGTTATGTATGTTGCGATTGATGACTTCTTGGAAACAAGGTAATACATTTTTATTCTGCAACAGTCAGTGATGCTCTGACACATCACCTCAGATTCTTGGGGTCTCTCCCTACTGGCGTCCCATTGAAGATCACAGGGTTAAGCAGTCATGTCATCTCACTGTAAAAGTACTCAGGTGGAGAGAACTGCTGGAATATGGGCATATTCTTCCTCCGTAGCCATCCTCCTTCCTCCTGTGTTTAGGTATACACCAAGTACCAGCACCATGCAAGGTGCTTTCCCTAAGTTATCCCATGAGTTGTCTTGTGCCCTCAGAAGCCTTCCTCTTTCCGTTCGCAGATGAGTCTTCAACTCCAAGAGAAAAGGCACTTGCCCAAAGCCCCACAGTGACTGTGCTGCTGTTGGGACTCCAAAGCAGGTCTGTCTGACCCTGAAGTTCATCTTCCTGTTCCATCCCTTGCTTCCCCACCCTCCTGGGTCAGAGGCGCATAGAATCTTCTGTGGATTAGACAGGAGGACAAGTTTGCCCATGTGGTTGAGGGGCAGTCAGGGGCTTAAGTGCAGGCAAAGCTCCTGGGTAGCCTCCCACTGGGTTTCCATGATTGGAGCCAAAGATCCTCCTTTTCTGCACATCCTTGCACTAAGAATTTTTGCTGTGTTCACCCTGTGCTGAGGCCCAAGATGCAGGGCCCTCTGACCAGAGCAAAGCCTCTAACAGATATGCTCCCCTAAACATTATCTACTTTAAAAGAAATGCTTTCTGGAATATTCCAGACCCTATGGCCTGCCATAGAATCTTCTTGGGCTTAAGCCTCCAGTGTGGAAAAAGGAAGGGAGATGGGAATGGGGGGAGAGGCAGATGAAAGGGTTTCAGTATTTTGTTTTGCACTGATAAAAAATAATTCAAAAAACATCGTTCAGGGCTGCCCCGGACAGGCTGAGGCACTGCTAACCACATGCAACAGCCAGGCCTTGCCTCGGGAGCCAAGCTGGTCTCCTATACCTGGATCTCATTTCTGACGAGACGCCTTTAACTGAGCAGCTCCTGCCTTCCGTGGCCAATAGGAGATACAAAACGCTGAAAGAAAAATGTTTGAAAATTTTTAAAAAGGTCCAGACCAAATATGTATTGAATTGATTTCAATGTAGAGGTAACACATATCATCTTTTCTAGAAACTTCCTTTCCTTGACGATGGGAGTGGGATTCCACTGGGGAATCTTGAGCTGGTTCTCACATTGTGTAGTCACTTCTCAAACCTGACAGGAAAGGCGGATTGCTCTCCATGGCTCTTCTTGTGGGTTAAAAAATCTAACTTGCTCAAGGGTGGCAAAAGGAATCCCATTTCACAGGCTGCACTTGAACACAAATGCCGAGGTATGGGTAGACACCCCAGGGTTACGGATCACCAACACTCTACTAAACACCTTCTGTGTGGCAGGCACATGACAGGTCCTCAATGCCCACCTGCCCCATCATTGTCGCTACCTCTGGTGAAAGCATCATTACCTCTGTGTTACAGATGTAACGGACACAGCAAGGTAACTTATCTTGGGGCAAACAACGGACATGTACTATTCTTCTGGTGACTCTTCTAATGTTTAGGAAATCCTCTACCATAAGCAGCAAGACCATCTGCTGCAATGACAGTTGAAAAGGGGGCTAGCGTTGTGTGAGGTAGGCTGCTGCCTGCAACAGCAGCATCCCATGCGAGCACTGAATTTTGCCCTGGCTACTCTGCTTTCAGTCCGACTTCAAAGCCCAGGTGGGTGACTTGGATGAAGTTCTGGACTCCTGATTTCAATAGAATTCTCCTTGTAATGGCCATCTAGGATATATAAGAATGACTAGATCTCTCTTTCTCTCTCTCTCTCACTCTGCCTTTTAAATAAATAAATCTCTTTTTTTAGAAAAAAAGATTTGTTTATTTTTATTGCAAGGTCAGATCTACAGAGAGGAGATGAGACAGAGAGGAAGATCTTCCATTCACTGATTCTTTCCTTATGTGACTGCAACAACCAGTGCTGCGCTGACCCAAAGCCAGAAGCCAGGAACTTCTTTCCGGGTCTCCCATGTGGGTGTAGGGTCCCAAGGCTTTTGGGCCATCCTCAACTGCTTTTTCAGGCCACAAGCAGGGAGCTGGATGGGAAGCGAGGCTGCGGGGATTAGAACCGGCTTCCATATGAGATCCCAGTGGGTTCGAGGCGAGGACTTTAGCAACTAGGCCATCATGCCAGGCCCTAAATAAATAAATCTTTAAAAAAAAAACATAAAATAAAATAAAAGTGGGGCCAGTACAGTGGCATAGCAAGCTAATCTTCCACCTGCTGCACTGGCATCTTTTATGGGCACTGTTCTTTTTCTTGCTCCACTTTCCATCCAGCTCCCTGCTTCTGGCCTATGAAAGCAACAGAGGATGGCCCAAGTCCTTGGGCCCTTGCATTCACGTGGGAGACCAAGAAGAAGCTCTTGGCTTTTTGTTTCAGATAGGCTCAGCTCCAACTGTGCAGCCACTTGGGAAGTGACCCAACTGATGGAAGACCTTTCTCTCATAATCTCTCTGTCTCTTCTTCTTTCTCTATAACTTTAATTTTCAAATGCATAAGCAAATTTTTTTAAAGATTTATTTATTTTATTGGAAAGTCAGATATATAGAGAGGAGGAGAGACAGAGAGGAAGATCTTCCGTCCGACGATTCACTCCCCAAGTGAGCGCAACGGCCGATGCTGTGCCAATCCGAAGCCAGGAACCTCTTCCGGGTCTTCCACACGGGTGCAGGGTCCTAAGGCTTTGGACTGTCCTCCACTGCTTTCCCAGGCCACAAGCAGGGAGCTGGAAGGGAAGTGGAGCTGCCAGGATTAGAACTGGCGCCCATATGGGAACCTGGCGCATTCCAGGCGAGGACTTTAGCCGCTAAGCCATGCTGCCAGGCCCAGTACAGTCACATGTATAGTTACTCTCTCATTCTGGATTTTAAAAAATATTTAAAAAAAGAAAAGACATTTAGTTGATGCCCACTTTCTTCTTGCTAGTGTTCCTACGTGCTCACCAGGCACTGGCGTTCCAATGGTGAACAAGATACCTGCTAACCTTCCCCTGTGTGGACTTCTCACTTCATGTCCAATATGGAAGACAGGCGCTCTGATGACAGTCATCTATTGTTTGTGCAGAGTCCAGCTGTTCCTTTGGTGTTGGGAGGAGGCTGGAGGTACTGTGCAAACCCCTTGGTGACATCCTCAGGTCAGGCAGGAGTTCACGTGAGGAGGAGTCACTAAGAAGGCTTCCCCGGGAAAAGGGATTTCTGCAGGGCACGGGCAGGGCCAAGTGGGAGTGAGCAAGAGTGGAGGGAGGGATCCCAGAAGGAGAGCGAGGGCACTGCAGGAGGTAGCAGCTTTGGAGTCTGGGGGAGGAGGTAGGCCACGCGCTGTCAGGGACAAAGGGGTCCCGAAGGAAGACGCTCTGCTGCTTGGCGATGTTAAAGGCGGTGGGGATCCATGGATGATGCTGTAATGGGGTTGTGACAAGATCAAGTCAGTGCTGTAAGGAGATTAATCCTGCTACAATGTGCAGAATGGGCTGGCGTGGGAGCCACTGGAGGCTGGAAGAACAATTTAGAGTCTATGGCAAGGAGTAACAGGCACATCTGT